ATCTACTAAACGATGCATAATTTATTTAAATTTAAAGAAATTTAATGTTACACATTAGTTACTTATGTATATGTAAAATCATTACAAAAGAAAACTTAATAAATTAAACTTTAAATCTGATTGATAGTTTTCTCCTAGTAACCTGAGGTTAAATTCGCCACCTTGTTGTCTTTAAAGCATTTAACATGTTTCTCTCAACGGTGGCTGACCACAGGATATTAAGGATTCCATGATATATATGACTGTGAATAAGTAGTTTGACGACACTCATACATAGATATAAATAAAATATTTTACATACAATTTAATTTATTATTGTAAAATATCAATGTGTGTACTTATAAGATACTATGTGTATGTAAAATATTTCAATGGGATTTTGTATATGGTTTTATTCGTAATTAATACAGAATTCGAATATTTTACACAGCCAAGGAATGTTCATGTAAAATTCTCTTCGATATATGAATGCTTTACTATTGATCGATTTCTTTGTAAATTTATTTAATGAAATCATTATCGTAGGAAACAACTACTTAATGTATAATGAAAAGGAATTTGCATCGTTGTGGTTGGGATAAAAATACTGATAAAGTAAATTTCCATGTTGGTATTTAATGAAGGAAAAAGTGGGGAAAATAATGAAAGATGAGAAAAAGTGTTTTAAGTCGGCTGAATCGAATTTTAAATACCTGATTGCTTTTATTTGAACCCTATATTTCATTCGTTGTGTTACATATGGAATGAAAAAATCAATATACGCCCAATCTTTATGATGGCGGGTTAAAAAATCTCTGTTATTATATGAAAAGTATGTAGGTTGTTTATCAATAACAATTCATGAAATGGAATTTTATTTTAAATGTTAAATAAAGGATTAAATATATCTCGAAAATGGTTAGTTGTCTTTAATGAATAGAGTGTTTTACTGGTAGTTTTAACAGGGATGTTGTCATGCTTTTTGGATTAATGTAATCAAGACATAATTTCTGAAATATTGAACCATATTCCCCAAAATATTTCCCAAAGTAAAGTTTTAATGTTTAAACTCGAAATTTGTACCGAATATTTAAAAGCTTATAGATTACGCTTTAATGAATCTTTTATCTTGACTTAAGCTCTTTTAAATAATTTAATTTAAAATTTAACTTATTTCCTAATTTACACAAGTATTCATTTGTCAATATGTCTACAATCTTAAATTACATTTGTTTGAACGTAATTAAATTTATATCTAAACAAATACACTTTAAAATACAATAACACATACATAGATACCACATATTAACTTAACAGTAGAATTACATTAAAACCATAATATTTACAATAGAAATAATGTTTATTAACAATTAGAAACCTTTTAAGATTTCCAAGTAGAATTAATGAAAGATAAATAAACTAAAGTGTAGAAGTAAAACTACTAAAGAAATACTATTTGCAATATAAATAATAATTAACACTAGACAAACCATTAGAAATCTAATAGAATTCTATTAGAATTGCAAATCTAATAGAATTTGTTGACCGATTTAGTTATATTAGACGAACAAAAGAAAAATTAATCATGGTAATTTTAGAAAACAAAATGATATTTAGGAAAAAGCTTCTGCTCGAGGTCTTAAATAAGTAACTTGTAGTTAGTACTGATCCCGAGTGCTCTAAGCGAAGGATTGTCTTCCTTGATACCTATGTTTTTAAGAAAAGTTGATAAGATAAAACTTATATAGTTTACAGTTTTGACTAGTGTTAAATAGCAGTTATTTGTAAAATAAATAGTTATTAAGTAAACAAACTTCACAGTTTATAGAGACACAACTCGTTTATATTTACTAAGAATTATAAATATTTTGTGGAAAATTTATTACAAAAACACTGGAAATATTTTAAATTCATAAACATTAAAGAAGTGGACGGACAGGACACATAACTCCAAAAACATCATTTTGAGCAAAAAATCGTGGGCCGTTTCTATAGTCGAGTCTATAGTCGAGTCTATAGTCTAGTCTATAGTCTAGTCTATAGTCTAGTCTATAGTCTAGTCTATAGTCTAGTCTATAGTCTAGTCTATAGTCTAGTCTATAGTCTAGTCTATAGTCTAGTCTATAGTCTAGTCTATAGTCTAGTCTATAGTCTAGTCTATAGTCTAGTCTATAGTCTAGTCTATAGTCTAGTCTATAGTCTAGTCTATAGTCTAGTCTATAGTCTAGTCTATAGTCTAGTCTATAGTCTAGTCTATAGTCTAGTCTATAGTGTAGTCTAGTCTATAGTCTAGTCTATAGTGTAGTCTAGTCTATAGTCTAGTCTATAGTCTAGTCTATAGTCTAGTCTATAGTGTAGTCTAGTCTATAGTCTAGTCTATAGTCTAGTCTAGTCTATAGTCTAGTCTATAGTCTAGTCTATAGTCTAGTCTAGTCTATAGTCTAGTCTATAGTCTAGTCTATAGTCTAGTCTATAGTCTAGTCTATAGTCTAGTCTATAGTCTAGTCTATAGTCTAGTCTATAGTCTAGTCTATAGTCTAGTCTATAGTCTAGTCTATAGTCTAGTCTAGTCTAGTCTATAGTCTAGTCTATAGTAGTCTATAGTCTAGTCTATAGTCTAGTCTATAGTCTAGTCTAGTCTATAGTCTAGTCTATAGTCTAGTCTATAGTCTAGTCTATAGTCTAGTCTAGTCTATAGTCTAGTCTATAGTCTAGTCTAGTCTAGTCTATAGTCTAGTCTATAGTCTAGTCTATAGTCTAGTCTATAGTCTAGTCTATAGTCTAGTCTATAGTCTAGTCTATAGTCTAGTCTATAGTCTAGTCTATAGTCTAGTCTATAGTCTAGTCTATAGTCTAGTCTATAGTCTAGTCTATAGTCTAGTCTATAGTCTAGTCTATAGTCTAGTCTATAGTCTAGTCTATAGTCTAGTCTATAGTCTAGTCTATAGTCTAGTCTATAGTCTAGTCTATAGTCTAGTCTATAGTCTAGTCTATAGTCTAGTCTATAGTCTAGTCTATAGTCTAGTCTATAGTCTAGTCTATAGTCTAGTCTATAGTCTAGTCTATAGTCTAGTCTATAGTCTAGTCTATAGTCTAGTCTATAGTCTAGTCTATAGTCTAGTCTATAGTCTAGTCTATAGTCTAGTATAGTCTAGTCTATAGTCTAGTCTATAGTCTAGTCTATAGTCTAGTCTATAGTCTAGTCTATAGTCTAGTCTATAGTCTAGTCTATAGTCAGTCTATAGTCTAGTCTATAGTCTAGTCTATAGTCTAGTCTATAGTCTAGTCTATAGTCTAGTCTATAGTCTAGTCTATAGTCTAGTCTATAGTCTAGTCTATAGTCTAGTCTATAGTCTAGTCTATAGTCTAGTCTATAGTCTAGTCTATAGTCTAGTCTATAGTCTAGTCTATAGTCTAGTCTATAGTCTAGTCTATAGTCTAGTCTATAGTCTAGTCTATAGTCTAGTCTATAGTCTAGTCTATAGTCTATCTATAGTCTATCTATAGTCTAGTCTATAGTCTAGTCTATAGTCTAGTCTATAGTCTAGTCTATAGTCTAGTCTATAGTCTAGTCTATAGTCTAGTCTATAGTCTAGTCTATAGTCTAGTCTATAGTCTAGTCTATAGTCTAGTAGTATAGTCTAGTCTATAGTCTAGTCTATAGTCTAGTCTATAGTCTAGTCTATAGTCTAGTCTATAGTCTAGTCTATAGTCTAGTCTATAGTCTAGTATATAGTCTAGTCTATCTAGTCTATAGTCTAGTCTATAGTCTAGTCTATAGTCTAGTCTATAGTCTAGTCTATAGTCTAGTCTATAGTCTAGTCTATAGTCTAGTCTATAGTCTAGTCCATAGTCTAGTCTATAGTCTAGTCTATAGTCTAGTCTATAGTCTAGTCTATAGTCTAGTCCATAGTCTAGTCTATAGTCTAGTCTATAGTCTAGTCTATAGTCTAGTCTATAGTCTAGTCTATAGTCTAGTCTATAGTCTAGTCTATAGTCTAGTCTATAGTCTAGTCTATAGTCTAGTCTATAGTCTAGTCTATAGTCTAGTCTATAGTCTAGTCTATAGTCTAGTCTATAGTCTAGTCTATAGTCTAGTCTATAGTCTAGTCTATAGTCTAGTCTATAGTTTAGTCTATAGTCTAGTCTATAGTCTAGTCTATAGTCTAGTCTATAGTCTAGTCTATAGTCTAGTCTATAGTCTAGTCTATAGTCTAGTCTATAGTCTAGTCTATAGTCTAGTCTATAGTCTAGTCTATAGTCTAGTCTATAGTCTAGTCTATAGTCTTTCAAAATTTCAATTGTTCATGTCACCAGGCATGAGTATTCTGAGTGGACACATGGGTCTATGGACACAACTACATAAAGTCGGGTGAAGGGAATAGGATGAATGTACAGCATGTGGAACACAGAGATGTATTCAGATATTAAAATATGGTATCAAATATTTTTATCCTGTATAAAATTGCTTTTTACTTTTGTAGATGTTGCTTTTAGGATTTCCTTTAAATAGTGTCCTCCATAGCCGGACTTTGTCTGTATTTCTTGACTAAGTGTACTACTACTTGTAATCTATAAACATTATATCACTATGCCCATGAATTATGAGACACTTCCAAGGACATTTCACTTAATCGGATAGTATTCAAGTTGAGCTTGACACTTACTTTTTAGAGTTATAGTGACATTTAAAAATTAGATTGGTAAACTTTGAAATGGGCATCGTATATTGCAAATATAAATAGTTTCCCTATAACTTTTTCGTAGAGTGTAATATATTAGTGTAAGAAATGCTAATTGAAAACAATTAATTCGTTTATCGATGCAAATTTGAACTTTGGGAATTGAAATTCATCAAAATGATTAATAGGAAAAACACAAAAACAGGAAAAGGAAAAAACACATACATACACAGACGGACGTACACAAACACACACATACATATTAATAAATACACAAACACGGGTATTAAAAACTACTACACCAAACTTGTACATAAATAACAATACACTCATACATACCTAAAGATGTTTGTAAATTATGTGTGGCATTTAATGCTGCAGATGTTGTTGAATGTGTGGTAATTAAGTTATTGATATTAAAGGCATTCGAGCCACTTAAACTGTTGCTATGATTACTGTTATTACTTGAGGAGCCAAGACTGCTACCACTACTTCCGGTTGCTGCTGCTGTTGTTGTGTTTGTTGCTACTGTACTGCCGCCATTAATTAAATGATGATTATTCAATTGTTGTAGTTGGAGATTGTGCTGTTGTTGTTGCTGTTCACTTAATAGGCCACCAACGCCACTACCACGTTGGCCACTACCATTTTGCTGTTGCGTCATATGTGATGCAACTAATGTGGTTTCTAGGCCACCACCACCACTACTGCCTTTAATTAAGGTTGCTGCTGCTGCCGCTGATGTTGTTGTTGCTGCTGCTGCTGCTGCTGTTGTTTGATAATTTATACGATGTAGTTGCTGCTGTTGCTGATGTTCAATCGTCATTGGTGAGGTAAGCGTATGATTGCTACCATTTGAACTCAACGGTGATGTTGTACTCTCACCACCACTGGGAGTTAAATCATTTTGTTGTTGCTGCTGAAGTTTCTGTTGTTGTTGTTGTTTATTAAAATATAAACCTGTAGCAGATGCTGCTATTGTCCCAACTGGACCAGATGGTGATGGTAAATTATTTACTGTTGTAACTAGTTTTCCGGTTGCTGTATTGCCACTGGCAACAGTTGCTGCTGATGTTGCTGTGTCCAGTGATAAAATTGTTTTCAATGGTTTATTGTTGTTGACTGTTTTATCATTTAACACTGATGAATCTAATGATTTAATATTTTTCTATTGAAATGATATAAAATAAAATATATAGAAAATATTAGCTAATTATGAACAATTTTGTGGAAAAAATTTTAGTTTAGTAGATAAAAATTTTAAAATTATTAAAGTTCTAAAAAATTGTAAGTAGGATGTTTTAAAGAATATATGAAAATAGTCAGGCATCTACTAAAGAGGAACATTTGTAAAAAAAGGAAATTATTAAAAAATATTTGCTTTAATAAAGGCAGTACTTGTATCAATGCTCAGTATACAGTCAAACTCGCTTTTAACAGACTCGGTTATAACGATCTCTCGCTTATTACGAATAATTTTTTAAGTCCCGATATTTTGGTAATTATTTTAATACAAAAAACATCACTTATTATCAATCCTCGTATAAAAACAAACTACTTTTTCAGTCCCTCAAGTACAATTTCATAAAATTTTTCTTTTTTATAACGAACTTCAAAATTATGTGTTGAAATCGTTGTTAGACCGATCCGTAAGTGATAATTATGTAATGAGCTACATATTTAATTGATTTTCACTACAAGACAATTATTGGAGCTATGACCATGATAATCCTCCGAATTCAAATCGCGGGTACAGCTACACTGTAAGAGTAATTGATCTCAGTTTTTACTATTTTATTCCCTTATCTATTTTGAATAAATCCCCATGAGATCTATTAAAAATTCAAAAATTTGTTTCACAAATTTGAAGAATATGTTTAAAAAATCAAATAAGCCTATTCTATAGTCCAGAACATCATAATCTATTCTATGGTAAAGACCATAGTCTATTCTATAGTCAAGACAATAGTCCAGACTATAGACAATTCTATAGTCCAGACTATAGACTGTTCTATACTCCAGAATATAGACTGTTCTATAGTCCAGACAATAGTCAATAGTCCAGACTATAGACTGTTCTATAGTCCAGACTATAGACTGTTCTATAGTCCAGATTATAAACTGTTCTATAGTCCAGACTATAGAGTGTTCTATAGTCCAGACTATAAACTGTTCTATAGTCCAGACTATAGACTGTTCTATAGTCCAGACTATAGACTGTTCTATAGTCCAGACTATAGACTGTTCTATAGTCCAGACTATAGACTGTTCTATAGTCCAGACTATAGACTGTTCTATAGTCCAGACTATAGACTGTTCTATAGTCCAGACTATAGACTGTTCTATAGTCCAGACTATAGACTGTTCTATAGTCCAGACTATAGACTGTGTTCAATAGTCCAGACTATAGACTGTTCTATAGTCCAGACTATAGACTGTTCTATAGTCCAGACTATAGACTGTTCTATAGTCCAGATTATAAACTGTTCTATAGTCCAGACTATAGACTGTTCTATAGTCCAGACTATAGACTGTTCTATAGTCCAGACTATAGACTGTTCTATAGTCCAGACTATAGACTGTTCTATAGTCCAGACTATAGACTGTTCTATAGTCCAGACTATAGACTGTTCTATAGTCCAGACTATAGACTGTTCTATAGTCCAGACTATAGACTGTTCTATAGTCCAGACTATAGACTGTTCTATAGTCCAGACTATAGACTGTTCTATAGTCCAGACTATAGACTGTTCTATAGTCCAGACTATACTATAGACTGTTCTATAGTCCAGACTATAGACTGTTCTATAGTCCAGACTATAGACTGTTCTATAGTCCAGACTATAGACTTTTCTATAGTCCAGACTATAGACTGTTCTATAGTCCAGACTATAGACTGTTCTATAGTCCAGACTATAGACTGTTCTAAAGTCCATACTATAGACTGTTCTATAGTCCAGACTGTAGACTGTTCTATAGTCCAGACTATAGACTGTTCTATAGTCCAGACTATAGACTGTTCTATAGTCCAGACTATAGACTGTTCTATAGTACAGACTATAGACTGTTCTATAGTCCAGACTATAGTGTGTTCAATAGTCCAGACTATAGTGTGTTCAATAGTCCAGACTATAGTGTGTTCAATAGTCCAGACTATAGACTGTTCTATAGTCCAGACTATAGACTGTTCTATACTCCAGACTATAGACTGTTCTATAGTCCAGACTATAGACTGTTCCATAGTACAGACTATAGACTGTTCTATAGTCCAGACTATAGACTGTTCTATAGTCCAGACTATAGTGTGTTCAATAGTCCAGACTATAGACTGTTCTATAGTCCAGACTATAGTGTGTTCAATAGTCCAGACTATAGACTGTTCTATAGTCCAGACTATAGACTGTTCTATAGTCCAGATTATAAACTGTTCTATAGTCCAGACTATAGAGTGTTCTATAGTCCAGACTATAAACTGTTCTATAGTCCAGACTATAGACTGTTCTATAGTCCAGACTATAGACTGTTCTATAGTCCAGACTATAGACTGTTCTATAGTCCAGACTATAGACTGTTCTATAGTCCAGACTATAGACTGTTCTATAGTCCAGACTATAGACTGTTCTATAGTCCAGACTATAGACTGTTCTATAGTCCAGACTATAGACTGTTCTATAGTCCAGACTATAAACTGTTCTATAGTCCAGACTATAGACTGTTCTATAGTCCAGACTATAGACTGTTCTATAGTCCAGACTATAGACTTTTCTATAGTCCAGACTATAGACTGTTCTATAGTCCAGACTATAGACTGTTCTAAAGTCCATACTATAGACTGTTCTATAGTCCAGACTGTAGACTGTTCTATAGTCCAGACTATAGACTGTTCTATAGTCCAGACTATAGACTGTTCTATAGTCCAGACTATAGACTGTTCTATAGTACAGACTATAGACTGTTCTATAGTCCAGACTATAGTGTGTTCAATAGTCCAGACTATAGTGTGTTCAATAGTCCAGACTATAGTGTGTTCAATAGTCCAGACTATAGACTGTTCTATAGTCCAGACTATAGACTGTTCTATAGTCCAGACTATAGACTGTTCTATAGTCCAGACTATAGACTGTTCTGTAGTCCAGACTATAGACTATTCTATAGTCAAGACTATAGACTGTTCTATAGTCCAGACTATAGACTGTTCTATAGTCCAGACTATAGACTGTTCTATAGTCCAGACTATAGACTGTTCTATAGTCCAGACTATGGACTGTTCTATAGTCCAGACTATGGACTGTTCTATAGTCCAGACTATAGACTGTTCTATAGTCCAGACTATGGACTGTTCTATAGTCCAGACTATAGACTGTTCTATAGTCTAGACTATAGACTGTTCTATAGTCCAGACTATAGACTGTTCTATAGTCCAGACTATAGACTGTTCTATAGTCCAGACTATAGACTGTTCTATAGTCCAGACTGTAGATTGTTCTACAGTCCAGACTATATACTGTTCTATAATCCAGACTATAGATTGTTCTACAGTTCTATAGTCCAGACTATAGACTGTTCTATAGTCCAGACTATAGTCCAGATTATAGACTGTTCAATACTCCAGACTATAGACTATTTTATAGTCCAGACAATAGACTGTTCTATAGTCCTGACTATAGACCGTTCTATAGTCCAGACTATAGACTGTTCTTTAGTCCTGACTATAGACTGTTCCTTAGTCCTGACTATAGACTGTTCTTTAGTCCTGACTATAGTCTATTATATATTCTATTCTATAGCCCAGGCTATAGTGTATTCTGTAGTCCAGACTATAGTCTATTCTATAGTCCAGACTATAGACTATTTATAGTCCAGACTCTTGTCTATTCAATAGCCCTGACTATAGTCTATTCTATATTCTATTCTATAGTCCAGACTATAGTCTATTCTATAGTTCAGACTGTAATCCAGGCTGTAGTCCAGACTATAGTCTATTTTTATAGTCCAGACTTTAGTCTATTATATAGTCCAGAATATAGTCTATTCTATATTCCAGACTATAGTCTGTTATATAGTCCAGAATACAATCTATTCTATAGTCCAGACTATAGTCTATTCTATAGTTCAGACTATAGTCTATTCTATAGTACAGATTGTAGTCTATTCTATAGTCAAAACTATAGTCTATTCTATAGCCAGTATATAGTATTCTCTATAGTCCAGACTATAATCCAGTCTTTTTTAGTATATTCTGTAGACCAGACTTTATTGTATTCTATAGTCCGGACTATAGCCTATTCTGTAGTCCAGACTATAGTCTATAGTCCAGAATATAGCTTATTCTCTAGACCAGACTAATAATATACACAGTATTAGCTTTGAAATAAGATATATAACTTTCCAATTGGCTAAGAAATAGCAAAGTATTAGGCTATATTGTTGACTATGATTTATATATATTTATAGTTTCTGCAGTTGAGACTAGGGATGCCAAACGGGAATTCCCGATTCCCGAAAATACCGGGATTTTCGGGATTTGAAAGTACCGAAAACCGGGATTTTAAAAAATGTAATCCCGGGAAATTTCGGGATTTTAAAATCCCGAATTTTTAAGTATTTTTCCGCTATTTTATACATTATAAAGTACTAAATAAGAGAATTTAAAAAGTTTTTGGACTTAAGATGACTCTACTAACTTACAAGCTGAAATATCAAAAAAAAGTAAGAGTGCTATATTCGGCTATGACGAATATGCTTTTCTATAAACATCAGGGTGATATTACTCATCAAATTTACTGATAGGACCTTATATGAGAGGTAGGGTGAATCATTGACCGTTTTTATAAAATTTTTCATAATTTTTTTAGACCAATTTTGGTTCATACACTTTCTGGTAGGAAGATTTACGTTCCTATAAAAGTTTCTTAGCTTTTGGCGAGTAAGAAACTTACTTATCTCAAATTTCATCTCTACACTCGTACTTGTAAGCCAGTAATGAGCGTTAAAGTATTTATCTGGATGGGACCTTATGTAGGGGTAGGGTCAATTATGGACCGAAACACATAAAACTTGGTAGAGAGATTTTGACTCGCATGAAACATATGTGTATCGAATTTCATCGCTATACTCGTATTTTTAAGCCAGTAATGAGCGTTAAAGTCATTTTTTTAACGGGACCTTATATGGGGGTAGGGTCAATTATGAACCGACCCACATAAAATTTGGTAGAGAGGTTTTGGCTCGTCAGGGATTTACGAATATCAAATTTCATTGCTATACTAAATAGGCATAGATACTATCGGATATATAAAAATAACAAGTACGAAATTATAGGCGGGCGAGGCCGACCATATAACCCCATACACCAGTTATGAGAGTAAAATGTAATTTAGTTTTCATAATAAAAGTATACCTCGCCTCCGATATATTCTAGCACTTTATTGTTAAAAAACTATTTTTCTGAAATATGCTTGGGGGAAGGACGCCATCATATGAGTCGATCCTCATAAAATTTGGAGGGCGAATTTACGGTTACATAAAATGTTTTATGCTGAATTTCATTGCAACAGTTCTCTTTTTAAGCGAATTGTGGACACTAATTCTTTTTTAAAGCTGTGTTTTGTATGGGGGCTCGGATCAAAAGCCCGATCATTTCAAATTTCATCAGCGTATTTTAGGAGAGTATAAAACAAAAGCACTACTCCGGAGAAACCCAATATACCATCCCTACTAAGGGTATAAAAAGGACAATAAATAGGCATTGATACTATCGGATATCTATAATGGAAGTCAACCTGTCAATAAGATGGCGAGAAGATAATTCCCTTGGTTAGTGAACACGGGATATAAGGTGGAGGAGATATAGGTGCAGTACAGGTGCTCTATGTAGCCTCGTATGGATCCCCATTACACATACTATTTAAATATTATTTGGAAACCATTGTAAATTTGGATATCATGGGTATTATTTCAGGTTTTTATTCTACTATTCAGTGCCTGGGATGGAAAGATTTTTATTCTAAGTATGTACTTTGAATTAATTTGTTTTTCTTTTCACAAAATGCTTATTGGAAAGTAAACACCTACTAAGAGTATTCATATTGCAATATGAAATAAAACATTTTATTTTTGTCGGTAAATTATTATGATTTTTTGAATTTTTTTTTTATATTTTTCGGGATTTAGAAATCCCGAAAATCCCGGGATCCCGATATCGGGATTCCGGGATTTATTTAAAAATCCCGAATTCCGGGATTTCTAAAAACCAGTCCCGATTGGCATCCCTAGTTGAGACTAACGAGACGTATGATTATTATTTTTTAAATATGCGTATTATTATATGAAGTATACGCATAGAGGGATTTTAGAAATCTGTTGAATTCCTTAATTATAGATAATTTTTGATTTTTTTAAGTACAAAAATTAAAAAAAAATTGTCTTAAATTAATTGTTTTATTTTAATTAAGCAAAAAATTAAATGTATTTAAGTAATTTCCATAACCACTATCTGGTGTAGTTTTTCTATTAAGGATATTATTTTTTTTCCTTTTGCATTACAGGCTCTGCTGGCATGCTGTCAGTTGCTTTCTACTATTTGGGGGTTTAATTCTCTAAAGTTTTCAAAGTGTATTTTTTATATATTTCTTCATTCTCTAAAACATTTTAAACCATGCAACGAAACATATTTTGTATGTTTTATGATGACAGAAAAAAAAGGAAAATATGTTTGAAAAAACAAAACGCCAAAATAAATTATTTTTAAGATATAAACAGAAGGAAAAGGAAAAAAGAAAAAAAATACACATTTAATTCAAATGTGGCCAAGTGGAAAACAACAGGTGTAAAAATGTACCCAAAAAAAATGTATGTAACAACAACAAACAACATTTCGTAAATGAAGAAACGTTGGAGGAGGGGAAGAAAACATGCACATTAAAACTAGTGAAAATGAGTTTGGTTTTTAGCAGGTCGCTTAGTGCAAGCGGAAATATGACAAGAAGTGTTAAAGGAAGAGAAAGAAAATAAATGAAAGTATAAACGAGCGGAGCAAAGAATGTGGTGTGGTGTGAACAGAAATGAAATATACGAGAAAAATTGGAATATATTTTAATAGAATGTTTAAGGGTGGAGGCGGTTTTTTTGGTGTAGGGTGTGGGGTCAATGACTTTTCTAAACTCTTTACATTTAACAGCTAACAGTACTTACAGATTCAGCAAGTTTATGTAATGTTGCATTAATACGTTCCGGATTACGCGGTGGTGGTTCTGGTGGCTCTGATGCAGCCATTGTTGGACCAGTATTTATTATATTTATTTGCATAATACAACTAAGAAGTTTTTTTTAATAGTATAATGGTGCTTTATTTTTAGTATTTCTAAAAAAAAAATCTCTAAATTTAAATGCAACTTTGGTTGATGTATCTCCTTTTTTTGTATTTTGTGTTGTTGTTAGTTTTATTTCTTTCTCTTTTTTTCTGTGTATATGTCTGTTCTAATCTAAGTGTTGTGCATAATTGTTAAAAGGTTGCTAAATGTTAAGAGGATTTTTACATTAATACTCATGTTCTTCCTTATTTGGCCTATTATGTGTAGCATGTTTTAGACATATTGTACACTTTTTTCATCATCATGTTTCTCTTTTTCTTCTTTTTATGTGGTCAAATAGTGTTGTTAGATAATATTAAAAAAATTTAAATAAATTTTTCTTACTATTTATGGCACTCATACATTTTGCTAGATTTAATTTTTATGTCTTTTTTGGAAAGCGCCTTGAGTTATTATGAATCTAAAAGAGACATTAAAAGAAAAAGTAGTTATTAAAAAATTTGAATTTATATTGAATGAAGAGAATTTTTATAAAAAAGGCTTACAATGCAAAAGGAAAATTAAAGTGGATTAATATAAATTTCTAGTGAAATATGCATTTGTTCAGAAATTATCAAAATATGTGCAATTATTTCCATGCACAATGTTTGATAACATTTTTCCTTGCTTATGCTATTACAACGACAATAGAATAGATAGAAATATCCATGAACTAAGCTTTCCAAATGAAAAATATAAAGTAGTGTTTTCTGATGTAGGAAAATACATCTCCTTAGTTTAATTATGAACAAAACTATGGAATGTTGGATGGGTGTCTTCGTAGGATGTTGGTAGTGTTTGGACTGGGTGGAGGGTTGCGATACACTCTTATAGTCTCAGGTAGACAAGGAGCCCAAGAGTGACATACTGCAACTAACTAACTAACTAACTAACTAACTAACTAACTAACTACTAACTAACTAACTAACTAACTAACTACTAACTAACTAACTAACTAACTAACTAACTACTAACTAACTAACTAACTAACTACAACTAACTAACTACTAACTAACTAACTAACTAACTAACTACTAACTAACTAACTAACTAACTAACTACTACTACTAACTACTAACTAACTAACTAACTAACTAACTAACTACTAACAACTAACTACTAACAACTAACTAACTACTAAACTAACTAACTAACTAACTAACTAACTAACTAACTAACTAACTAACTAACTACTAACTACTACTAACTAACTAACTAACTAACTAACTAACTAACTACTAACTAACTAACTACTACTAACTAACTAACTAACGAACTAACTAACTAACTAACTAACTAACTAACTAACTAACTAACTAACTAACTAACTAACTAACTAACTAACTAACTAACTAACTAACTAACTAACTAACTAACTAACTAACTAACTAACTAACTAACTACCTAACTAACTAACTAACTAACTAACTACTAACTAACTAACTAACTAACTAACTAACTAACTAACTAACTAACTAACTAACTAACTAACTAACTAACTAACTAACTAACTACTAACTAACTAACTAACTAACTAACTAACTAACTAACTAACTAACTAACTAACTAACTAACTAACTAACTAACTAACTAACTAACTACTAACTAACTAACTAACTAACTAACTAACTAACTAACTAACTAACTAACTAACTAACTAACTAACTAACTAACTAACTAACTAACTAACTAACTAACTAACTAACTAACTAACTAACTAACTAACTAACTAACTAACTAACTAACTAACTAACTAACTAACTAACTAACTAACTAACTAACTAACTAACTAACTAACTAACTAACTAACTAACTAACTAACTAACTAACTAACTAACTAACTAACTAACTAACTAACTAACTAACTAACTAACTAACTAACTAACTAACCTAACTAACTAACTAACTAACTAACTAACTAACTAAACTAACTAACTAACTAACTAACTAACTAACTACTAACTAACTACTCGCCATACCTTAATTCAGAAATATTTTAACAATTTGTTGACAATAAAGGGATTATCTGAAAGGGGGGTTATATGAGGGTAAGGGATTTATATGGCCCCATCCTTATAAATTTTGGTACAAGGATTTATATCTACATCAGTTAGTTATGCATAACATCATCGTGATATTAGTGTTTATAAGTGAATTTGACCACCAAGTCATTTTCTGAAGAGGACTTTGTATGAGGGATAGGGTCAAATGAGGCCCGATCATTTGAAAATCAGCAGTATCATTAAGACGTATATAAAACTAAGTTTTGTAGATTTTTGAAGTGATACAAGAACATTTCACATAATTATGAGCTCAAAATCCCCATTCGGGAGAGTAGGGTTGTATGGGGGCTATGCAAAATAATGAATTGATTTTAACCAGAGTATGTGCGACATTTCATCAAATTATCTTGAAAATTGCGACCTGTAGAGTGAGCTCAAGGTTTACATGGATACACAGACGGGCGGACAGATGGACATAGCTAAATCGTGTAGGGTATCAACGCAGGGATTTGAGAATGAACTATTTTTTTTTAAACTTTAAAATCGAATAAGAAATAGCAAAGCCATAGTCTTGACTTTTAATACATTTTTACATTGTTCTGCCGTTGAGACAAACGTGGCGTATGATTATTATTTTTTTCATATGCGAATTATTCTATGAAGTATACGCATTGAGAGATTTTATTAATTTCGTTTAAATTATAATCAAATTTTATCAATGACTTTGTTACAACTTCCCATTTTTGTTTTGCTGTACATATCGTTGCTAAGCGGCACATTAGAGCAAACACTTGTATGAAACTGTTATTACAAAGGTGTCTTTAATCCGGGCGACAAAACGGCAGGCTTTCGTCTATGGTATATCCAAACATCTTTGGAGTGATGTTATTCCAGATATTATATATGTATGAATTTGTCCTCATACAGTTGGGTCAGACAGTTTAGTATATCGGTACACAACAATTCCAAATGTTGTTCAAAATGTCTATTTATCTTACTAATTATGTCCTTCAGTCCAGGACAATATTGAAGATAATTTAAAATGACTTATAGAGATTTCTAGGCAGGTCGACTAACACTTAAAATTCAGATATTTTCCTTATATATTCTGTCATATACTTATTTAATTTTTGTTCTTAAAACTATATTTTTTTCTTATTATCAAAACTTTTTTTTAAAGTTTATGTACTGACTTTAAAATTCATAAAACACGACACAAATATCTAATTTAAATAAATGTCTTTTCAGAACTTTTTATATTTTTTTTCTTTTACAAAAGAAAACATGTTTTTTGTTTTAAACTAATAAATGTCCCAAAAGTATCACTAACTTAATCATCATTTAATCTTAGAAATAAAAACGAAGAAATGCGTTTAAGAAATATACATAGATGGGATAAGATAAAGAATTTCATGGAAATCCATAAGAAGATTTCAATAATCAAATGGAAGAAAAATATAAAAAAATATTGAACTAAATCAATAAGATACTTTTGTCATACTCTACTAAATGAAAGAATTTTCTTAAAATTGTTCGAAACCTTCAAATCACTAAACATTCTATTTAAAACAATTTTTCCTACTCAAGTTCTCCATAAAGATTTTAAAAACATTTCCATACTAGAACAGCTGTTTTAATTGCATCTTTTCTTCTTAAGAGTTTTCTTGTATTGCATCTCCTTTTGGACTAAACGTAAAATTTTATATTCTTATTTATCCATTTAATAAAATTCTATTGCCTCTCATTTGGGTATTCTTTTGCGAAGCTTTTTTCAGCAGTAGTTTCGTTTTCTTCACCATACTGACACTTGTCTAAGAGGTTTCGAAGTGTATGGTAATAAATGTTCAAATAAATGACCCAAATCGTGTATAAAATGCATGTCAATTGACTTGTACAGGCAAAAGTGTCCTAATGGAAATTTCGAGTGCGATATTTTAACTTGCAAGAAAATGTTTAAGAAAAACCAACTTAAGCAAATGTTATTTTGCTATTGAGAAAATAGAAAACAAAAGAATATTGTGAAAAAAACTAGAGCATGTTGTGGGGTTTGTTAATTTAGCAAGGAAAAATAAGTTGGGAAGTGTGTATGTATATTTAGGGTAAGCTCGACACCTCAATACAATTCATACACGGAAAAGAAGTAAATCACAATACTTTACATTTTCGGATGTTGTCCTAACAGAAACTGCTTAAACTATGTCTTTACGATCGGAATAACTTTCAATAACTTTACTATTATGGTAAAAACCGGCAAAACCTAAAAATAATATCCACCTCTTACTTCTAATTCATATATTGCCGGCAAAATCGGCAAAACCTAAAAATAATATCCACCTCCTACTTCTAATTCATATATTGCTTCAAATTCATAATTTGAATTATTATTCTAAAAAATCCATGTTCATAACTATTTCATAAACCTCTAATGCCTATGGACTAGTTTATAGTCTATTGACTTATGACTAGATAATAGACAGGACTATAGGCCAAAAATAGACTAACACTCGTTCAGTACAAGTTCAGTCCTAGTTCAGTTCTATTTCAGTTCTAGTTCAATTCTGGTTGAGTTCTAGTTCAATTCTAGTTTAGTTCTAGTTCAGTTCCAGTTTAGCTCCAGTTCAGTTCTAGTTCAGTTCTAGTTCAGTTCTAGTTCAGTTCTAGTTCAGTTCTAGTTCAGTTCTAGTTCAGTTCTAGTTCAGTTCTAGTTCAGTTCTAGTTCAGTTCTAGTTCAGTTCTAGTTCAGTTCTAGTTCAGTTCTAGTTCAGTTCTAGTTCAGTTCTAGTTCAGTTCTAGTTCAGTTCTAGTTCAGTTCTAGTTCAGTTCTAGTTCAGTTCTAGTTCAGTTCTAGTTCAGTTCTAGTTCAGTTCTAGTTCAGTATATTCAGTTCTAGTTCAGTTATAGTTCAGTTCTAGTTCAGTTCTAGTCAGTTCTAGTTCAGTTCTAGTTCAGTTCTAGTTCAGTTCTAGTTCAGTTCTAGTTCAGTTCTAGTTCAGTTCTAGTTCAGTTCTAGTTCAGTTCTAGTTCAGTTCTAGTTCAGTTCTAGTTCAGTTCTAGTTCAGTTCTAGTTCAGTTCTAGTTCAGTTCTAGTTCAGTTCTAGTTCAGTTCTAGTTCAGTTCTAGTTCAGTTCTAGTTCAGTTCTAGTTCAGTTCTAGTTCAGTTCTAGTTCTTCTAGTTCAGTTCTAGTTCAGTTCTAGTTCAGTTCTAGTTCAGTTCTAGTTCAGTTCTAGTTCAGTTCTAGTTCAGTTCTAGTTCAGTTCTAGTTCAGTTCTAGTTCAGTTCTAGTTCAGTTCTAGTTCAGTTCTAGTTCAGTTCTAGTTCAGTTCTAGTTCAGTTCTAGTTCAGTTCTAGTTCAGTTCTAGTTCAGTTCTAGTTCAGTTCTAGTTCAGTTCTAGTTCAGTTCTAGTTCAGTTCT